CATTGTATGTAATCAGATTTCACCAGACACCTTGGCTTTCAGAACATATAAAGTGAATTGAAGGGCCACAAGAAAAGTATAATTTTTGTTGTGTCTATATTTGTAGAGTAGATAAAGCATATTGATTTTAAAATATCTGGAGAAATGTCAAGAATGGAGGTTATTTAAATATAGCAAATCATATTACGGCTATTTGCTTCGGTCGTTTGGGCATGTTGCATCTGAAATATTAATATGATACTTGCCTTTTGCAGAATTTACACAATTTTTAAATTAATTATTTAAAATGTATTTGCTTCATAGTGGGACTCTTTCTATATTTTAAAGCATTTATTTATTTTATTTTTAAGATAATTTCTCATCGATTTTGGGCAAGCAATTAAATATTTTATGGATGAATATCTTTGATAAATAATATATTCACGGAGAAAAATGCACAAAACAAATTTAAATGTTTTATTAAATTAATTAGTTTTATAAATGATATACAGCTTCTGTGTTATACCGTTGGCGTACATCAGTAGCTGCAGAATTATACCACTTTGCTGCAAAATCGTGTATTAACGTCATAATTGTTATAATTGTGGGAAATACTTAGATAACGGTGGATTGCTTTAACGCATGCGGTAAAATTTTGTATAGCTTGACTAGGCTTACATACTGCCATTAATATTTCGTGCAGGAGAGGTTTTTAGATCATTACCGAGCAAATGCGTCTAATAACGCGTAATTTTTCTTTGAACTATTTATGAACTAAAATAACATCATTCGCTATCTTGTAAGAGTGACTGCAGTAACTGATCAAGCTGACATTCGTGCACAGTAATCCTGTTACTGGCCAAGGATATATTTATAATTAAAAGTCTTTCTTCAAAATTATTTAATAAAAGTTAAGGTTACTGTCCTTTAAATGGAACAAATTTCGTAAATACATATCTTATTTTTTTGGAATATAATTTCTTAGACAGGTCTTCACATCAATTATATGCTTCTGATTCTTAGGTAATGTTTACTTATTGCTCGAATCAACTGCACAACACGGATTTTAGTATGTGGGTGGCAATTTTTGCTTATTTAAAGTATAAGGTATTTTCTCCCTCCTTTCTGCATGCCTTCGTAATGTAACTAGAAGCAAAATATATTCATTTTCGGAGGTAATGAGTTCGAATCCCGACGAGGGCAATGCATGTTTATCAGATCATCTCGCATCGCCATAATCTAATTACTCTACAAGTGGAGCCAAACTAAAACGTGGAGGACGATAATTAGAGACCACGAGGATTTGGCGATTGGGTCCCCTTATCCCCAGTCACCCTTTAAAAGGATGATTTATAAGGTATTTCCTTCCTCCTTTCCGTACTCCTTTCTAGTGTTATTGGAAGTGTTCGGGAGGGCCGGATACGTTTGACAAGATTTCTCCGTTTCATGGCATATATCCAAAACATCATTCGGTGAGAAACATGATTAACAGGTGAATCTCCGTTAGGATAGCTTAGTTTCGAAATTGTTAACGATAATTATATAGCATAAAATTATTTGATTTTGCTTGCTTATAAATATTAACTGCAATTAATTTAACACAAAACTAATTTTAGGTAATTTAAAATTACATGAATAAAATCAATAAAATTTTTCTTTTTAAATAATTTTTTAAATGATCATAATAAAATAATCATAATTCAACCATGTTATAACATATTATTTTACATATATTAACCGTTAAAAAGCTAGCACATTTAAAAAACATTACATTCTTTATATCCAGCGTTATCGTTACCTTATCTCCAACGTAAACTATAGACATACACTTTCAATACAAAAAGTACCACGTCTAAGGAATTCTAGCACGAAACAAAGCAAAAACAATGCGAATGGAAAGGAAATTATGAATTACTTTATGTGTAAAAATGACGTACATATGGAAGATAAAATCCATGTATTTTTTATGCATTAGTTCTATCTGAACATGAGGTAGCTGAACATGAGGTTATATTTCTTTAAATTAAAACAAAATATCTAAAATATTGTCGAGAATGTCAACCCATTGTAACGTTGAGGTCAGGAATGAGTAGCAATAAAAGAAAGGGACTGTGGAGTGAAAAACCGAGAGGCTTTAGAACTGTTTTTTCTTAACTCCATGAATCGCTCGAAGGGACAGAACAGACAAAGTAGTCTGCTGACGAGATATATTTGCTGTCGAAAGATCTTTATTCTTCTATGATTTGGTGTATAACTTTCAGCTTGACTGCTGCTTATCCTCTGACCTCTCTTTAAATTTAATTTACTGTTAATATATCTCGAAAATGAGAAACAATCTCATGAAAGGACAAAATTGAAATTTTAAAAGAATTTTGCAAGATATAGGATTGATAATAGCAGAATCATCCAGAAAACTAGCTATTCAACACTCAAAATAGTTCACGTAATCAAAATAGAAGAAAGATTAATAGCTTGCGAAAAATTATCTTTAAAATGTTGCCTATCTAAGGAAGAAAACGTCCCTGAATTGGAAATATTTGGCTGTAATTTTTCATTCATTGCTCATTTGTCATATATTCCATTTAACATACCTGTTCTCATGGAAACGGTAAAAAGATATTACTGCAACTGAATGTGAACCATATTGTTTTTTTTCAGTTGGATATCTGAATTAATTTAAATTGTGTCACTAAATCAAGTATCACATCATAAGCGGAGTGTCTAATGACGCTTCAGCTGACTGTCTAAAGATTGGTTCCCGAATTTATTCAACGAAAAGGACGGGTGTGAGCTAAAATATACTTTTAAACATCGATAAAATCAATCTATTTCACCTCATGCCTGCAAGAATCTTAATTTTTAAAAGGCAATAAAGGAAGAAGAGCAAAGATAAGTAAAATACTAGATAAGTACTTTACATTGTACATGTGTTGATGGAACGAAAACGATAACTCTAGTTTTAGGTAAATTACAGAAACCAAGGTCACTGAAATCAAAAGTATTTTAAAAACCTTGCCATTGTGATATGAAGCTAATAATAAAGCGTGGATGACACGGCTATTTTTACAGAATAATTCAAATGTGAAATAAACACCTGTGTGAGTTCCAACTACTTAGCTAGTACAATTACAACTTCAGTAAAGTGTTACGTCTGATATGTGCAGTGAATTATCACCGCCAGAATAGCTAACCATCAAGCAAACAGACAACAGAATTAAAATATTTTAGGTTCATTCTACATCACCGCTTATGTGTGCTTAAATTAAAAGAGAACAACACAGATTTAGTAGCCAACCTGGACCTGGTTTCAACACAAAATCTTCCCTTCATACCAGGAATAAATCCTACAATTAAATCTAACTTTTTCAGAGACTACAAGATTTCCTAACTTGCGATAGAATTTCGAACACACACACACACACTTACGAAACAAGATCTAATCTCCGTCTAACGTAATTCCAGCAAGAACAGCTTTAGCGTGGCCAACAGTTTTCTTCCCTAGGCAGAGCAGGAGAAGCAGGACAAAACTTTACACTCCTAGTCATAAAATTCTACACTTTATAGTAAAACTACTTGCCACTCAATATCTACATAAATTCTAGAATGGGCGAACCTCGTGGCGAAAAGAGACAAAAAGGAAAGCATTAAATTAATATTTTGTCAGTAAACTTAAATCTAAATGACTTTTCCAAAAAAAGAGCTTTGAATAACAGTCCTCAAATGGACTTGATAAAAAAAGGGTTAAAATCCTAAATTCTGATGCCTTTCTTGTAGTCTCTTTAAATTAATTTTACTCCTAATTTTTTTAATTTATTTAAATTAAAATCTTACATAATCAATTCTTCAGGCTAACCTGGATGTAAAATTCACTGTAATGCATTTCATTCAACTTGAGCACACTATAATGCATTTCATTACACTATAACACATTTATTTTAATATAAGACAATCATTTAACTACAAACCTATTATTTTTATCCATACTACTAATTTAAAATCCATCTTAATTTTTATATGCTGCCGTTGTGCTTGTTCTGAAAACGACATAATGTTTCGGCTGCTTTTCCTCATATAGCAACTCAATTTCACGTATGTTAGTACCAATGTTATACGTACTAACGTACGTATGTTAGTAACAACACCCTTAATACCACAAAATCTACCGCAGTGTTTTCCTTATTTATTAACGTAATGGGCCATAGATTTAGCTTATTTCACGCATCATCTATTCACTCTCGTCTTCACAGAAAGTCGAAGCACTATCGTTGCTTTTAATTTTACACATATCCTACAATTTTAAGCAATTAAGTTGTGATCTTTCTAACATTCGAACACACATCACAATTCAGAAACTCTTAAAGTCTTTTCAAAATTAGATACATTACAGTTTAAAACAAATATGAAATCTTTCAAAAATTATATTCGATCTTCCACACTTGAAATACTATATTTAATATTAGCTAACTGGCATTGCTTTGAAATTTTCTTCGATACATGCATGTTGTTAAGCCTAACTTTTGGAACAACATTTCAGTTTGAAATATTAACTAAAATTCACTTAGCTTTTATTTTTTCACTCAAATACTGATAAAATTCATGCGACCGGATAAAATTCCTTTCTGTTGTAGCTTGAGCTTGTTGTTCCTGAGTCCGTTTAGTTCCTTTTTTCAACTCCTTTCAGTTTACAAAGGTAAGCGAAATGCCCCAAACTTGCAGGACAATGCTTCTTAAGTAGCATTTATGATTGTCATTTTATGGATTCATTGTGATACGTGTAAAAACGACGGAAAATGTTGTAGAGACGTTAGGTTATTTTGAAGCCTGAGACGTGAAAAAATGTACAACGCCTTCGCCGGGACTCGAACCTGGACCTCTCGAATACGCACTTAGTGTGCTACAGTTATACCACGAAGGCATGCAGAAAGAAGGAAGAAAATACAATGGATAAAACATATCTACTTACTTAAACACTTCTCATATTTTTTTAATATACAGATTTGTATCAGTTTCTTTTATTACAGATACTGAAGACACTTTGTCCTTGCCAATATACCATGCTTTGAGCCTTGGTTATCCTTATAGCGGTTTAACTCTCGACGAAAGGATTAATTTACACGAAACTGTTACTTTAACTGAAGAATGGATCGAAAAAGTCAATTCATCATTATGGATGCACAAAGACAAACTCAAAGAATTTGAGAATGCCAATGTTTCTGAAATACTTTGGGAAAACAGCTATCGGTGAGCATATTTTTAAAGGAATTTTTCTTAAAGAACAGTATTTGCATGCTATGCTGTTCAATATATTTTCCTCAGTCAGCTTGTATATATTGCTCAGTTAATTATCATATACTGCAAACCGACATAATATTTACTCTAGTAACATAGGCAACATCAGTTCCCCTGCAATATCTTGGTTTACCATGGGAATACGTCTGCCGAACATCGGTACTTCGGCTCGGGCTTAAATTCCGGGGAATGGGCTAGTTTCATGGATATCATCGTTGTTTTACTCACGTGTAACATGGATTCTAGCCATTTTCCCTAGAAAGCCCTCCACAAAAGCATCTCTTAGATATATACCTTTAATGACTTTGCCATAATCAAATAAACAAATTCAAGCCATAACAGCCTGAAAGATTGCTAAGCAAAAATATTGTAACACATTTTAGATAAATTTTGCAGATTTTTTATAATTTAAATGAATCAGAAAAGATGAATAAGGCTCACTTCTTAAGGAATAAAATAAAAGAGCAATATTATCGGTGCCTTGGAAGTTATTCGAGACAGATATTAATATCAACAATAAAGGCAGGTCGGCTAACAATTTGAAAAAGAAATTTTAATAATACTTTACCATTTTACACTTTGTTACTAACAGACATAATTGATTTCTTTATTTCCGTGTATATTCTCACTTTTGATAATTTGATATATATGTATGTCCTTCATACGGCCTTTATTTTTGCAACTGTTGGTCGTACCCATTATAGCAATATTCGAAATGAGCTAGGCATCAATTATGCTTTGGCATTTTTGAATTTTACAAAAATCGATTTTTTTAAATTTTTCAAATCTAAATTTTTATGCAGTTTTCCGGTTCCTATAGTGATATTTACTAAACTTTTATACTCAGTGCAAATAACAATAAAAAGATCGACTTGCAGAAATTAACAGAGATATTTAATATAACAATTTCATTGCTTTTGCCATCATTTCGGCTTTCTTCAGGGGGTTGATTAAAAATGAAATTAAAATAAGTGGAAACCGATTTATCGCTTTTAATGTCCCAATGTGGCATTCTTTCGTGATTTATTAGTGTATAATATTCATTGATTTATAACTTTGTTACATACAATGTGACGAAAAAATACTTTAGAAACACGTATTTTATAAGCTTCCAAATTCTAAAAATACTTATTCTTCTAGTTGTGGCTAATCTCTCTTGTCTTACCTAATCAAGACAAGTCCACGAATTCATGAATTTTATCGGATCGAGGAGTACAAGACTGGCCTTGAGCTCAAGGCTTATTCATAAACTCGTGCAGTTTTATTATTTTACAGTCATACTCTAGTAATCATACAGCAATCATTAAATGAAAAATAGTTTTCCTCATTTGTAAATTACACAAATAATGTTAAGAGACGTTTATGCACCAGTACTGAAGCGTGCCACTGTTTCTTAGACTATAATTTATATGAGTTTCTATGAATCCTATCCGTAAAGTAGTTATTTCTTTCTTGTCATCGATGAGTTATAATATTACACATACTTTAGATACATTTCACCTTCGTGTTGTTTCTTCCCCTACCAATAAAATTCACCGCTTGATACTTGAATTTGTGTCCATTTTCTTCTACCAATAAAATTCGTAGTTGGCTACATAGACTTCAATCACGATACAAACTCATAAGGTACCTACAGTATTTGTTGCCATTGTGGTTTAATATGCACACTGATCAACCTTGAAATTTTGCCCTAAACAGCACAAGACCTTCATTCAAAAAACAAAACAAAAAACGAAACAAAAAAACAATAACCCCCCCCAAAAAAAACTCATAATTCCTTCGTTGTCCATCACTAATAATCAAAATACGGCTGAACTAAAACTACTTTGACGACTCCAGAACTGTAGCTAAGGTTTTCAGCTCCTCCAGACAATTGAAAATTTGGCGCCCTCTTATGTTTACCACGAATAGAAAATATTTCATTTTGAAAATTCACAACATGAATTTGGCGCGCCCTGGACGCTGCACTCGGGAACAGATTTCCCCCTTCCCCTTATAAGATTGCCCCTGGATAATTCTAAAACTAAAATTATATATATATATATATATAAACTGCCATTTCCGTTGATGAATTAAATTTTCTGAAAGTGTTTTACATTCATAAGTATCTTTTACTTCTGGTTAATGGTCTCATTTCTAATCCCTCTTTGCAGCTTTTTAAGCTTTTTTCCTTTTCAGCTTTTAAATAAATTGATTGTTTTCTTTTAGGTTTCAGTCAGTAGATGGTCCCAACGGCTTTGTTTTCTATTATTTAGCTAGAAGCTTCTGGAATTGTTTTCTATTGTTCTCGCTAGAAAACCACGTTTCTTTTTCGTCATTTTTACTCTTGCTGCTGAAGAGTTATAAGGTATTTCTCCCGCCTTCTTGGCATGCCTTTGTGGTGTAGTGGTCTGCACGCTGGGCGCGTATTCCAGAGGTCCGTGATTCGATTCCCGGCGAAGGCGTTACTAATTTTTTTATTTTGCCTGCTTCCAAAAAAAATCCTAATGTCTCTACAGTGGAGCCTGAACTAAAAAAGTGTGTTGGATGATGATTCTCCTCACCCAGGATTTGGAGATTGGGTTTCCTAAAAACCCCAGTCGCCCGCCCTTTAACAGGGGAAGTATATAAGGTATTTCTCCCGCTTTCTTGGCATGGCTTCGTGGTGTGGTGGGCTGCACAATAGGCGCGTATTCCAGAGGTCCGCAGTTCGATTCCTAGAGAAGGAGTTGCTAATTTTTCATCTTGCCTGCTTCCAAAAAAATACCTAATGTCTCTACAGAGTAAGGCTTTATTTGACCTCCGAAATAATAGTCCTGCAAATTTACTCGCGTGACGCCGATCTTCGCTGCTCATTTTTGGCTTTTTTCCAACAATGAGTGCTCCTCTTGGAGGTGAAAAAAATATACTGCTGAACAATTTTCGAGACAACCTGCGTAGCAGTGCTCATTATTTATTCTATTAACAAGAATTTTTTTAAAAAAAAAACATATATTTCATTTTTAGATCAGTGAGAATGGACATATTTCGCTTTTAACTTCTTGTGTGACCTTTGAGCATGACCTCAAACTTTAAAATTAAATACTTCGGCTAATTTTTGTCGTACGAGTGTCAAACGTTTTGTTTTTTATGTACTGGAATGAGCATTTCTATATACTAGAATGAGGTAGCTATAGGAACCGGAAGAACGTATATGAACGTGTTGGACGTATATGAACGTATATGAACGTGTTGGAAGAACGTGTTGGATTACTTAATAGTTAATTGACTATTAAGTAATTAATTAATTGACTTTTTAAATTTAAAAATACCATAAAATCAATGTTTTCTTTCTTTAACAATGGCAAAGAAATATTTATTCCTATACAAAGTAAAATAATCAAGTGTTCGGTACTTAAAAACATTTGTTTGAAGTTTCTTTTATTTCTGATTTTATGCATTTATGGTGCACAGTTTCAAAAGATATTTTATATATAAGAATAGGAATAATTCATTTTTAGGAGGCAAATACTCTCTAATTTGATGAATACTTCTGATGCGACAGATTCGTGAAGCGAAATTTTAATTATAAATAAAATTATAAATCTAGAACAATTTTAAGTAGCTAACGATTTTAATTCAAAATTAAAATAATTTATTTAATTAAAAATTTCAGGCTCGCAAAAATTATTTGTCATAACACAGTTGCTTTCCATCCTTTCATTATTAACACATTTTCATAAATTTAAGTTTTTTGTAATGCCGAGTAATTCCACTAATAACTCATTGAAGAATGTCATTTGTACAAAATGTTTCATTTCACATGCTATTGCAGTATAGTAGAAAAGGACCACTTTTGAAATTTTCTTCATGTATACATAAATTTATACCCGACTAATGAAATTATCCATAACAATTATTATTCGTCTAAAAGCTAGATATATCTTGACAGATTTTGATGGTTGAGCACTCAATAGTAAGTTATATTTTCCTCCCTCCTTTTTGTGTGCCTTCATGGTGTATTTTTAAGCACGCCAGGCTAGATATCGGGAGGACAGATTTCGAATCCCGGCTAGAGTACTGAGGATTTCTCGCGATTAGCGCGATTTAGGGGAGTGGGAACTTGCTGACCGCACAACTGACGCCCAAAACTAAAATATAGTGAATTATAATTCATGACCACAAGGATTTGGCTATTGGGTCTTCGCCTCCCCAATCATCCTTTAAGTGGAGGAGAATGTAAAGGATTTTCTCCCTCTTTACCGCATGCCTTCGTGATGTAATTAGAAGTATGTATGGATAGCAATTCGGAGGTCCAGATTTCGAATTTCGGCGAAAGCATTGCACATTTATCACATCCCCTGTTTCCGAACTGAAATGCTTAATGTTCTGTACGACTGTTCACGGTAAAATGCTTCATAAACACCCTGCAAATCTAAATCAGTTTATCTGAACTCTGATTTGTGATATGAGCATGCAGAAAAAGTAATTTTGTTCTGCGTAGAATTATTTTATGTAACATATCACGCTAGTTTCCTGTATAGTTTTTTAGACAATTCTAAAATTGAGAAAAGAGTTTTTGTTAAACTTCCAGAGTAAAGTGATCTTTCTTAAAATTTTTATTTTTGATAATTTCTTTTAAAAATGTATCAGTAATGAAAAAGTTAAAATGGTACGTCTTTTTTTTAACTGAAATTATTCAATTAATACTTTATCTTTAGGCATGTAGTTTACCAATTAAGAGACTTGGTGAAATTACTTATTAATTATACCAGGACTGCTGTTTCCTATTATTGCCTTTTCGAATATACTGGAGTCCTGAGGGAGAACAGAGAGTTTACTTAAAACTATGTTCCTGGAAATGGTAGAAGGCACGACACAAATGGGAAGGGTTTAATTACCCTTTATTCTTCTTATAGTTTACAGACGTTCCCGCGCTTTGGGATACAAAGACCAGTACTTATGATCCGAACATAAAAATAAGAACTAAAACTAATTAAATTAAATAAGAGCTCAATAAATAACTCATATACTTTACAAAGACTAGTAACGCGAAGATTGGCCTTTTAATCTTTACGTATGCAGTACGCCAGAATGCGAGAAAACTACAATACGTCTTCAGTATCAAGAGGACTAAATTCTGGCCTTAACCCTTTGCGGCACAGTGTGTCCGGTCTGGACACACCTAAAATTTTCCTTCTGTACGCACAGAAAAATTGAATGAAAAAGGATTTATAGATTACTATAGGTTACTCTGAACCTTCTTTATTTGTACTAGATGGCAGCTCAACACAAACTAGTCCATATATTTTAGCCATGTTTAGTTTTTTTAAGACCCTCATTTTTCAAAGAAATCTTCCTGATTTTTTAAGGGTATAAAAGGAATTGTTTGAAAAGAAATTTCTATGTTATTTTTTTGGCTGTATGCTAATCTCCTTACGCTATATTAGTTTTAAATTTTTACCTTGAAATCTTGCCTAAAATCAAACGGCGAACTTTAGGTGTGCCCAGACCGGGCTCACCGATAATCTAGGACAACTCAGAGTCTGTATTCTTTGTTTCTTCGCATCTCATCGGTCAGTTCATTGACAACAATGCTCGTTTTAGCACTCTTTTCGAAGCTCTATTCAATTAGTGTGCCACTTTGGGCACACCCACAGAATTAAAACGATAAATGCTACGAGTATCTTCACAAAATTTTACTTGTGTACTCCTCTAGGCCTAATTAGACTGCCTACCTTTCTTTTTTTAATCAAAACTCCGACTTTAAAATGTAGCGTGCCGGAAAGGGTTAAGGGGCTGACAGATCTGACTGAAAAGCACGTGTTGTGAGGTTAAGGTAGCGAGATGTCTCTGTCTCTAACTATTTCTTGGCTAAAATCCACAACTTAAATATTTAACAGTTTGCAAGCTCAATTTACATAACTAAAACTAACCGCGTTTATTCTGGCCGGAAGTGGAAAATAAAAGAGGACAATAAAGTCCTCTTTATTATAAGTCAAAAAGTTTTAAAATAAAATAAACGTTAGTAAAACTTAAAATCCTTACAATTGTAACGAAAATAACAGAAATTAAAAAAAAAATGAATTAAAGCAATAAACTGAGGGCAGGATATGTAGCCATATGTTAAATTAAAAGCGAAGTGCAGTATGGTAAAGTTCTTTTTGCCGGATTATGGCTAAAGAGAATTGTATGAAATAGCGAATTTGGAATTTTACTTTGGAAAACGATTCTCTGTAAAACTATATTGGAAACGAAGACTGTTGCCTACTATTATAAGCAAAATAAATCGAAATTAATAAATAAGTCTGTTTCAAAAGAAGAGACAAATAATGAGTGTGATTTTGAAATTTATGAAATTGTTCAAGACAAATAATAGAATATTTACAATCTGTAAAGAGGCAAAATGAAAACTTCTCTATCTTTTCAAGTAACACTTTCTTACTTGTATTTTGCTGTAAAGGCCAATGTTCATGGTGCTGCCATACAATGGGAGCAAAATCAGTGTTTCTTATGCTGCACGAAAAAGGCCTTATTAAAAGATAAAACTCAAACTTTGTGTTTGTTAAAATATAGGAACGATAAGAATTGTATGAAAGCAAAGGAATGAGAGCTATAAATGACCAAAGCAATTTAATGCAAAGCTGAGCCTACTGTTTTGGAGGTGAAAAACGAAATACCTGCATACCAATCCCTGTTATCCTGGTAAGTGGCAGATTTATGAAATGGGAGATCCCGTCTTCATCTAAGCATTCTGTACCGCGCCACGCGCATAAGAAAAAAATCCGTACTTGTGACTTGGACATAATTTCCGATGATATTATTTTCTCTTGACGTAATGATGTTTAGGAGGGATTTTTATCGTTTCATTTTCGTTGAACGACATGCATGACTGACACGCAAGCGTGAAAATTATCATTTGTTTTCTTTGAACAATAATGCCCGACAGAAAAAAAAAATCACATGCAGCGTTCCTGTTTCGTGTAATAATAAAATTATAAAATCCTTGATGCTATTAATATCAGAAGCAACCTTAAGCACTTATATTATATAAATAGTTGAGTTAATGAAATGAATTTGCAGATACATTAGGTTTAATTGGAGGCAGAAGTCATGAAAAATGAGCAACGCCCTCGCCGGGAATCGAACCACGGACGTCTGGAATACGCGCCCTGCGTGCTGACCACTACTCTACGAAGGCATGCTAAGAAGGCGGGAGAAATACCTTATATACTCCCCCTTTTAAAGGGCGACTGGAGTTTTTAGGAGACCCAATCTGGGTATGGAGAATCATCATTCAACACCCTTTTACTTCGGACGCCACTGTAGAGACATTAGGTGTCTTTTAGAAGCAGGAGATGTGAAAAATGAGCAACGCCCTCGCCGGAATTCGAACCGCTGACCTCTGGAATACGCGCCCAGCGTGCTGACCACTACACTACGAAGTCATGCTAAGAAGGTGGGAGAAATACCTTATATACTCCCCCTTTTAAAGGGCGACTAGGGATTAGTGTACCCAATCGCCAAATCCAGGGTGTGGAGAATCAACATCCACCGCTATTTTTACTTCGGGCGCCACTGTAGAGTCATTAGATTAATTGGAAGCAAGACAAATGAATAATGCCCTCGCCGGGAATCGAACCACGGACCTCTGGAATACGCGCCCAGCGTGCTGACCACTACATTACGAAGGCAAGCTAAGAAGGCGGGAAAAATAGCTTATAAATTTAGTGCGAAAAACCAAAACACAGTGGTTACTCGTAAGTACATATTATTAATGCAATTTTGTTGCATTCCGTTCCTTTTACATTGCAGAAAATATTTTCTATGCAACTGTGTATGTTATTTCTATTTTCATGTCCATGGCTTTAACATGTATTCTGTTGCCTGAAATAAAAGAAAAAAGTACATTCGGTTTTATGCTGAATTTAATACACGTTTGTAAGAAAAGAAACTTCCTTCTTTAGTAAACATTATGTTTCTACAAATGTACAAAAAAGTTGTTACACATTAAAAAATGGGCAATATTCATAAAGTAATGTTATTCAATTTAAACGTACGTAGCTCTATCTGCTTTCCAAATCTACAGTAGTCTAACTTCAAAAATAAATTTTACTTTTCAAACTGAATAAAAATATCGTAAATTTCTTGTTATTATGATAGCTCCTATTGTTTCTGCTATTTGCGAAAATTGACTGGTCTCGCGTTTTCAGAGATTACAACTGCAGAGAATGGATATGTAATGAATATGAAATAATAAATTAATTATCTCAGGATTTTTAATACGAACGATTTTAAATTAAAAACGCATTTATGAAAAATCTCTGCATCCAATAGAGTTAAAAACACTAGAAGAAATAATATGCTTTCTCTCTAGGGAGGAAGAACATTACATTTTTTATATTCAATTCGCCACACTACAATGCCATAAGAAATGGAATCTCATGGCAATAAAAATACAAACACGTCATTAAACAGTAATAATCTTTTCGGTACTGCTATTAAAATACAGAAAAATTATGAAGGCCTACTCTCGAGCCCAAGCAAAATAGAGGAAATGATGTCATCGGAAACCATATCCAATCCCGAGGTGGATTTTTTCCTATGAGTGGGGCGCGGTATGGAATGCTTATTTGCATCCCGTCTCCTCTGAACTTTTGAGGGATTCTTATTTTAGGACATAAGACACGTATACGTACGTTGCTTTCCTTTGAATCCGGAAAGTGACTTGCGGCTCCTTGGAAAGCGGAGCCCTTCATGATTGTCCCTTGTGTGATGTTATAAATCTACTTGTGATCTTGATGTCTCTCTCACTGCCTACAACCTTTAAAGCGTAGCTATTGTGGGGCAAGACGGGACATCTGTCCCCGGGCGCATCATCTAGGTGGCGCCCAATTGATGCTACTAAAGTTTTTAATGAAATGTTTTTCATTCTTTGCACATAGGGGCGCAAATTCTTGAGTTGTTCCCGGGCACTGGAATCCTAGCTACGTCACTCCTTAAAATCGGTAAATTTTGAGAAGAGGTTGCATAGAGAAGTCACGTGATTTCTGACTACTGAGTTAATATTGTTAATTATACTAAATATTAGAGATGCAGCAACTTACTACATATCATTCACTACGTAACACTACGTCATTGTTAAAATGATTCAAACCATCGACTATATCCGTGACTATCTTCGATTGCCTGTATTCTATTCTGAAATTCATTGTTTTTACTTTGTAACTGTAGATCATGTAACTTCATAGAAGAAATTTCGTTCGATATGTATCGAAAATACTGCTTTGAAATTCTGAGATAAGAAATGGTTTGAAGATTCATTATTCATAATGCACGATTATAATAAGAATACGAGTCTAAACGTATCTGTTAGCAATTTTTCCATTCATAAAATTTTCATATTTTTCCTTTTTTCTTAGATGTGAAGATGTCTTCAGGAGATGTTCTGTAGGGTTTGAAACCATGAGCTGCTGTGATATTTTCAATCCTGTCCTTACAACATATGGATATTGTTTCGCACTTCAAGTGAACAAAACTTCTCTTGGAGCACTGGAAATGGAGACACTTCCGTTTATTGTTGACCTCCACGTTCCAACAAGTAACAGTGAGTTAAAATACTAAACAGTTTTTTAAAGGTTAGCGCCATCTCACCGAACAGTGTATTCTAGGAATATCTGGAAACTTGTTTTACCTCATCCATGAAAATTAAACTATAGAAGAATCTCCATGCATGAATCTGCATGATTAGCTTTTAAATTTATTTTTCCTTTAGTAATGGACATCAAAAACGTTTAAAAGTTTAAAAAATTTTCGGTTGGTGAGGAATTTCTTCAGAGCTATAAGATGCACATACGACCACATTTAGCAGCTCCTATTTCATTATCGATGTGAGCGTCTGAAATTTCTCTGTTGAAACTTGTATGAACATTTAAAAGTGAATTACTATTGAAAAAACGCTATGAAAAATCGGAGTTGATTTTCAGAACAAACAATCAAGAGTAAGATGTAAATATTTATATGCATTAAAATTTGGACAAAGTCCCTTCAGTGTACAATTACAATTACTTACGTTCTAGCATCAAGACGTGGCATTAGTCTCAAACCTCACATTTTTGCCCGTATCAATTTTCAAATGTTGCCATCAAATGTTATCGGTTTAATTATTTATAAGGTATTTCTCCCGCTTTCCTGGTGTGCCTTCGTGGTGTAGTGGTTAGGCACGCTAAGCCGCTATTCCTGAGGTCCGAGGTTCGATTCCCGGCGAAGGTAATTGCTCATTTTTCATCTCTCTTGCTTCCAAAAAAAAAAAAAAAAATCCTAATGTCTCTATAGTGGCGCCCGAACTAAAAGGGTGTTGGATGATGATTCTCCGCACTCAGATTTGGCGATTGGGTCCCCTAAAAAAAAACCCAGTCGCCCTTTAAAAGGGAAAGTATGTAAGGTACTTCTCCCGCTTTCCTGACGTGCCTTCGTGGTGTAGTGGTTCTGCACGCTGGGCCGGTATTTCAGAGGTCCGCGGTTCGATTCCCGGTGAAGGCGTTGTTAATTTTTCATTACTCTTGCTTCCGAAGTTACCTAATGTCTCTATAGTAGCGCCCGAACAAAAAGGGTGTTGGATGGGGTTTCTCCACACCCAGAATTTGGCGATTGGGTCCCCTAAAACCCCAGTTGCCCTTTAAAAAAGGGAGTATGTAAGGTATTTCTCCCGCTTTCCTGACGTGCCTTCGTGGTGTAGTGGTTCTGCACGCTGGGCCGGTATTCCAGAGGTCCCAAGGTTCGATTCCTGGCGAAGCCGATTGCTCACTTTTCATCTCTCTTGCTTCCCCCCAAAAAAATCCTACTGCTTTTACATATTCTTACACAAATAATATAGCGAATATTAAAAAAAAATGTATGGCAACACAAATAAAAGAATGTTGCTGCTGTATGTTATCACCATGTATTATTTTTAAAGTAATAATATAGCGAATATAAAATAAAAATGTATGGCAACATTCAACGCTTTATCCAAAATTCTAAAGATATCCAAAATAATTTTTAGCTTCCACTTGTCAGTTTGTTGCTATTTGGCGAAGCGTAAGATATGTAAATTTTATTTTGAATTTAATCTGTTAGATATTGATTAAAAGCTTAGCAATTTAAAAGCAATAAACTCAGTTCTTTATCTGTTTTATCAATTACCAGTTGAACCCGCGAAAAACACTAAATTTATTAAAAACACTGTATATATTTCTTTTTTTATAGTATTTTCAGTTTAATTATTTTCTTTTTTATAGTTACTTTTTTTTTCCAGTAGCTAGCGCCAGCGGCTAGCATTAAAATAGAACGAATGAAAAAATGAAATGAAGAACAAAAGTGAGGAACGAGAATAACAGTCCTTCTTTGGACTAAGGAATTTAAAGGATATACTGTATTGGGAAGTAAAGCTGTACAGCGTAGATACGCTGTTTCTAAAACTTTTGTGACATTGCTATTGAATTTTATATAGCATAACTGAGAAGAAGATGATGTTTAATAATCAAGTTAAAAAGATAAAAGAAAAGTTCCGTCAGCAGGAGTGAGTCCAACAGCAGGTAGATAAACTGCAAGCTCAACGAATGCATATACCTCTATTGCAAGGTTAAGTCTGAATCCTTTCAAATTTTATTGTTATTATTAGATTTTTCCGCCAGAATTTTGGTCAGTTTTTTTACCCGTTTCTTATCCTAAACTGAAGGACTTTTTCAATCAAGAAACAGTTTTGGAATCCCTCATTAAAGAAAGAACCCAATTCTTGTGAGCCGCCAAAAAAGTCGTGGATCTTTTCTTCCTTCATTTCCGCATGAATATCATAATTGAGTATGATCTTTTCATGCACTTCTTACTTTTTTATTTATCTAGTAAACTAAAAATTGTGCGTTAGGAGTAAAAAGTTTGTAGTTTTATGTCCCAAACTTGTTTTATAGTCAGCTAACTGCTTTATAGTATTGCCTTTAAAGGCATCTTTTTGAAATTCTAATTTGTGATTGTTGGAAAAATTTTTCATGTGATGTTAGATTGCTAAACCAGCAAGAAGTGCCTAATGTATTGAAATTAAGTAGTTTTTGATGATAAAAACTGAATGTTCTGCGTAATTTCCAGTTAAATCCTCCATGGAAGCATAGATAACTAAAATGATTTTTCTCACAGTAAGACTGCGATGCAGTATAACCTAAATATCTTACATTTACACAGATGACGTTTGTATATCTTATTTGTAAATTTCATAATTTTATTATGATAACAAATAATTGTTATTATGTATTGACTCTAGCAACTGACTCTGAAGAAGGTTACTTGCTTTTGGTCCATGATCCTCGCTTTACTCCACGCATGATACTTCCTAAAGATGGTCTGCTGGTTGCACCTGGCGTTACGATGAGCCTACGCCTCACACTGAGAATCGTAAGAACTATTTAATTTTGAAACCTACTAAAGGCAAATTATAAGAATATTTAAAATTGATGAAAATATATTCTGACTTCTGGTTGACTTAGTAATCGAAATAAGAAAGATCCCTACTTATCCTACTACTTATCCTTCAAGTGTAAGATAAATAGAGCCGTACTACGTTACGGCTCTATTTATCTTACACTTGAAAGCATTCTAGCAAATAATATGAACATGCTTCGCGTAACTTTTTTCTAGGAGTATAATTCGTATTTCAAATTGAAAGCGAAATTATTCATGTATGATGCTAAAATTGACGGCTGCATTGAGATTTTACATTATGTAATCATTGTATAAAATGGAACAGTTTAAGCATATCTTTGCATTACAACTAATTTTCTTATTATATTTAAACATTTCAAAATTAATAATTATTTCGAGCAAGCTGATAGTAAAGTTTCTGTGGATACAAATAGGAAGTCATAGCGTATCTCCGTAATTTTGTGCAATATCCATGTCCTTAAACATTACGCAATTCTCATGGTGTCTTAGTCCCAGTGTCAGACCTACTGCTAGGACCGGGCCGAAAATCTCCCTGATGACTCCTTATTTGAAATGATCACCTGAAAAAATAGCTACACAAATATATAACTGACATTTTATTTAATTAGAATTAAAGGCCGTATATTTCCGCAGAGAAGACTAGTTAGCAGATATATATTACTATGAGAACATCAATTTTTTCATTTTGTTTACAACAATCAACTAACCGTAAATTTTTGAAAAATTTTCTTTCCTTTAGAGAAACTTAAAACCGGGGGGGGGAATAAATGTATTGGAGATACTTTCTGTTCGTAATGGTACATCATGTATTGGGATTTCTGATTATTTAATTTACCCTGCAAACACCATCCAAATAATGATTCCGTGGCTACTATATTTTTCGAAATTCTTTTAGTTTTACGTGTATCTTTTGAATAGCAGATGTATACTCCCACGAGACTATCAATTTTTGCACTTTGTTTACAAGCAACAGCTAACTGTTTCTGTTAGTTAACTAAATTTTTGAAACTTTCTTTTCTTCAGCTAAATTTAAATCGCGGAGAAGAGGAATAAAAGTATTAGAGATACTTTCTGTTCCTAGTAGTTCAACATCTATAGTAAGATTGGGATTTGGGATCACTGATTATTTACTTTACCCTGTAAAAACCAGCAAATAATGATTTAGTTTCTGCTACATTTTTCGAAATTCTTTAACTTTACCTGTAATTTTTGAAAAGTAGAAATCTACTCCTGTGAGAATATCACTACTTCCAATTTGTTTACAACAATTAGCTAATTTTAAATTTTTTAAAACATTGTTTTCTTTAGAAACATTTAAATCGGTGGAGAGGAATAAAAATATTGGAGATACTTTCTGTTCCTAGTAGTTCAACATTTATACTAATATTGGGATCTCTGATTATTTACTTTACCCCGAGAACACCACCCAAATCGTTATTTGGGTGGTGTAGTAGCCACGAAAATGTAGTGGGCACGAAATCGTTATTTCGTGGCTACTACATTTTTTATACAACAATCAATTAATTGTTAAACTTTCAAAACATTATTTTTTTAGCGAATTTTAAATCTGCTGAGGGTACAATAATATTGGAGGCACTTTCTGTTTCTAGTAGTTCAATATCTGTACTAAGAATGGGATCTCTGATATTTTCTTGTTTTGCATTAAAGACATGAAATGTCTTTTCTAGAGCAGTTGTATCTCCAAATGAATGAACAGAAGGTGTCTCTTTTCTAATAATCGGAAGATTCATTTTACTAGATACATCTTTAGTTGTGGAAGTTCTTATTGTTATGAAAGTTCTCATTCTCTTTGATTTCATTATTAAAAGAAATTCTCACACTTCCACATTTCCCATTATTCCAAATCGAAGAAGAAGCAGTTTTTAATAAAATTTTGTTAGACCTGTTTTCATCGGCATTATATGACGAAACTGAGGAAATAATATTCGTATCCGACATTTTTTTTTTCATTTTTATCATTATCTCTTTTTCTAGTGTAAATGAATAAAAAAAATTCTTTCGAATGTTTATTATTACAAAACAGTAAACTTCAAATTGCCTTGATCAAGCTCAGTAAACTTATAATTGTCTTAATCCGAATATTAATTGAGACATAGCTGTACTTAAAAAAATTAACTTTCAGTTATTTCAGTTTTTGTTTCGGTGATAGTATGAAATTCTCTGATTGCTAAGAAATTTCTTACCGATTATAAATAATCGACTAGTTATTGATTGCTGTTTGATATTTCTTCAGATTTTTCTGCAATAGTTCTGTTAAATATTCATTTGAACCTCATTCTTATTTTGTAGACTGATTACAGCGCAAAATACGCTAAATGGTTTGGTCTGGTTACTGATTGCCCAAATGTAGCATGTATGGGTGAAGACTACAGTATTCAAGAGTGCGTTTTCCAGAATGCAGCGTATAAAGTAAAAGATATTTGCAACTGTTCTTGGATTCTTGATGAGTGTGAAAGTAAGCCACCTTTTCTCCGCATTTAATTAAGTATTTTATGGGAAGATATTACATGTATAAATGTACAAAGAAATTTATAAATCAAATTGTATGCTAAAATTGAGATAAAAAATATTTTTGCACTTAAAATTAGATAATATCTGCTCCTGTTATAATATTCATCTTTAAAGCATTCGTTTAAAATAAACTCAACTTAAAGTTCAACAAGTCTAGAATAATATGTTCAGAAATATAAAGCTTTCATACCATCAAAATAATTTTAGAGTAATTATAAGGTAAAATTCCTCATCTCTATTTGGTCAATATTCTTTAGTCTTAACTTCAACAAATAATGGAAAGTACCTTATACAATTATACAAATGGGGAGTGAGTGAGTGAGTGAGTGAGAGATTATGGCGCAAAAACCAAAGATGATTATAGTGCGCCAAACACGTGATGGGGTGAGTACAATTGATGAAATTAAAATACAATAAATAAAAACAAGTAGACAAATGTATCAAATCCAGAGGATGAAGTCATATAAAACAAGTTAAAACCACACATTTAAAATTCAAGACACAATCTTCAAAACAAATTACATTAGGTGATAAAAGCCAGTCTCTTTTAAATAATAAAATAAATTACAATTGACCTCTCTTCCGATTAAACGGTCGAGAGGTAAGTCACAGCTATTAAAATATTTCTGGCGAAGACTATTAAAACATGGACACTCAATTAAAATATGACGAACAGATAAACAAACATTACAATTAAAACAAACAGGCTCATTTTCAGCTTTGAGAAGATAGTTATGTGTGACTCTAGTGTGACCAATTCTGAGGCGAGTCAAAAGAACTTCCTCCTTACGATTTTTGGTTGTTCCCAATGCTCAATTCTAAGTTTTACATGTCTTAACTTGTTTTGAAGCTCAACATCCCAAATTTGCTGCCATTTTTTCCGGACCTTTCCTTTGATGACATTGCAGATATCTATCTCTAAAAGGGATAAGGCGACTGGACTGTTCAACAGCAGATTTGGCTGCGATATCTGCAAGCTCATTTCCCTTTATTCCAGCATGTCCAGGAACCCAGCAGTACAGGACTTCATAACCTCGAATCGTTAAACTTATATGAATTTTCAGAACGTCCACTACCACAGGATTCTGAGTGTTGGGAAAAGCTTCCAAGGATTTAAGAGCACTATACGAGTCTGTATAAACTATGAACTTTTTGTGGCAGAGCTTTGAGATGTACAAAAGAGCATAATATATTGCAGTTAGTTCAGATGTTAGGACTGAGAAAGCATGGTGCAGGCATCTGCCCTCAATGTAATCTTTCAAATACAAAAGCCATCCCGACATGATCATTTGACTTTGATCCATCTGTGTATATCGGATAATAACTGCTATATTTGTGCCTGTGCTCAGCGAAAGAGTTGTCTGTAAACGATCTCGTTAGTGCTCGCCTTCACGTGATGTTTGAAAACATCAAGAAGCTGAATCCGTGAATTTTCCCAAGGTGGAATTTCAAAATTCTGTACTGCTTGGGGGTGCATATCAGAGAGGGAAAGTTCCTCAATGACAGGGCGAACTCTTAAAGGAAAGTAGGAACACAGGATGGACGTGTTTCAAATAATGAGTGTTACACTCATTATCAAGTAAGCACAGCTTATTGGGATGTTCAGGTTGGGATAGAATATTAAAATATTGCAAAAGGGACAATTGCTCACGCCTCAGATAAAGTGATGGTTCGTTACAGTCAACATATAGGCTCTGGACAGGAGAAGTCCTGAAAGCTCCTGAACAAATCCGCAGAACCTTGATGGTGAACAGGATCCAGTTTTAACAACAAACAGATGAGCCGAGCGGATCCATAAACAACTGAGCCATAGTCCAGTCTAGAGCGGATAAGCGCTCTGTAAATGCGAAGCATGGAGCAACGCTCTGCACCCCAGGAGGTGTTCGCCAACACTTTTAAAATATTTAGTGTTTTTAGACACTTCTTTCTCAGGTTTAAAACATGAGAAAGGAAAGTCAATTTTCGGGTCGAACGTCACTCCTAAAAATTTTACTTCTTCGGGCGCAACTGGAATAATTGTACCATTCAGATATAACTCAGGTTCAGGATGGAGACCTCGCTTCCTACAAAAGTGCACGCACACAGTTTTCTGTTTCGAAAAAGTAAATCCCTGTTTGTCTGACCATTCTTGGATCTTATTCAGAGCCATCTGCAATTGCCTCTCTATGTATCTCATGTCTGCTCCTCGACAGCTAATCTGTAAATCATCTACATACATATAGTGATCCCAAGATGGTGGGAGGAAGTTCTTTTATACAGAATTTATTTTTAAACTGAACAGCGTTACACTAAGCACACAGCCTTGAGGCACACCCTCTTCCTGTTGAAAAACATCCGAAAAAACAGAGCCAATCCTTACTTGAAAAGTTCTAGTGTTCAAGAAATTCTGAATGAAAATTGGTAGGTTGCCGCGCAAGCCACTCTCGTGAAGATCCCGAAGTATACCGTATCTCCATGCCTTATCATAAGCTTTCTCAATGTCGAAGAATATTGAGACAAGGTGACTTCTTCTTACAAATGCTTTTCGAATGGATGTCTCTAAGAGGAGCATGTTATCTACGGTTGTTCTCCCCTTTCGAAAACCACTTTGATAAGGCGATATAATATTATTCTTTTCCAAGAAGTAGACTAGGCGGCTGTTTACCATCTTTTCAAACAGTTTGCAAACACAACTGGTAAGGGCAATTGGCCGATAGTTCGAGGGATTCCTCGGGTCTTTCCCTGGCTTCGCAATAGGAATGACAACAGCTCTCCTCCATGCACTGGGAAATGTACGCTCCTTCCACACTCTATTGTAAAGTGTGAGAAGGGCACTCAGTGACTTATAGGACAGATGCTTTAGCATTTCATAATACACGCCATCCAGACCCGGACAAGACCTATGTGTCTGCAACAAAGCTCTCTTTAATTCAACCATAGTAAAGTCTCTATTGTACGGCTCAAAGTTTGGAAGAGTTGAAAGCGATGGGATTTTTTCTCAGAGTGTTGCTTGATAGAAAGAAATGCAGGTGAGTAATTTCGGCTGGAAGAAACGGCAGCAAATGTCTCACCAATAGTATTTGCAATTTCTTCTATGGAGCTAATCACTCGGCCATCTTTTTCCAGAAAGGAAAGTGAGTGGTCTTTATACATTCCGCATGCTTTTCGAACTCTTTCCCAAACCCGCTTACTAGGCGTAGAGGATGTTATTGAGGACACATATGAAATCCAGGAATCCCTCTGGCTCTGCCTTCTTACTTTCCGTGCATTTGCTTTGGCTCTTTTAAAAGCTATGAGGTTTCGCAGAGTAGGATATCTACGAAAAATACCCCATGCTTTTTTCTGTTTTTTCAGTGCTTCATGACAGTCGCGATTCCACCACGGTTTCGAATATTTTAGTATTTTTCCTGATGTTCTAGGAATCGAAAGCATAGCTGCCTGAATAATAGTATTAGTAACAGCTTCAACAGCGTCATCGATATGCACATCTTCTACCATTTCCTCTGTGAGCTCTGCAACGGAAGAGAAGAGTTCCCAGTCTGCCCTGTCCAGGATAAAACGAGGGACTCTCGACATGGGGTTTGCTCCTCTTCGTGCAAGAGACACAAAAATGGATAATGATCGCTGTTGTACAGGTCATTTCCGACACTAAAAGTGCAAAATGGCAACAGAGATGGTGAACAGATGGCAAGGTCGAGAGCGTGGAATGTCCTTGAAGGCTCATGGAAGTACGTATCTTGCCCATTATTTAGGAGACAAAGGCTATGATCTTCGATCATCTGCTCAATTTGTCTTCCTCGGCAATTTGTATCTTTACTACCCCAGAGTGGACTATGGCCGTTAAAATCTCCTATTATGATAAAAGGCTCAGGCAGCTGCTCTATTAGATTATTTAAATCTTGCTGATCAATGTGCTCATTTGGAGGCAAATACAAAGAAACAACTGAAACAACAATATCAAAATTTATTTGAGTAGCGACAACTTGGAGGGATGTCGTCAAAGGAAAGTACATTTGAGGGATAATCCAGTGAGGTGAGGAGACCTACACCTCCACTGGCACGCTCACCTGCAAGGTTATCCTTCCTGACGAAAGAGAAACCTCCGAAGTTTTGCATGTTGTTCTGGTTTCAGATTTGTTTCCTGTATTGCGAAGCACACAGGATGATAAGCATTTATTATAGATTTGATGTCAAGCAAATTTCGGTGGAAACCGCGACAGTTCCATGAGACGAGGGTGGCCATTATGATTGGTGTTTGTTTTTCCTGTGTTCCTTTTTGTTTTGCGCGGAAGTAGATGCTCGGGAACTTCCATTCCCTCTTCCACTTCCATACTGTCTGAATCTGCAGATTCAGAATTCAATGTCATCTACAGATCTGGGCTTCTATTTTTGGATACTATTTTGGAGGCACAGTTTTTTTTGGTTTGCTCAAGATTGTTATTTCTTTATTTTGTATTGTATGTGTTGGATTTTTCTTTTTCTTGCTTGTCAGGCTGCTGGGTTTTATTTGGTGGAGTCTGTGTACTTATGGAAGTTTGGGTGGCTATAGTGCGGGTTGATTTCACGGCATTGGCATATGATTTGTTTGATTGAGCTGTGTGCTTTGAACTTGTCTTCTGGCTTCGGCATATGAAATGTTCCTTCCTAGAAACTTTTATGGTCTGAACTTCCTTTTCTAGATTTCCATTTTGGACAAGAGCGAGAAAATGCTGGGTGATCACCCTTGCAATTTAACACACAATGGCGCAGCGGTGCAATTATCACTATCGTGGCCAACCAACGAGCATCGGCGCACGTAAGGGTGCCACGACAGGATGTCTTAGAGTGGCCAAACGCTGGCATTGGAAGCATCGCATTGGGTTGGGAATATATGGTCTTACGGGACAGTTTAGATACCCAGCCTTTATATTCTTCGGCAGATCAGGCGATTTGAAGGTCAGGATCACGTGTTTCGTGTCAATCAAC